CTTATCATTATAATGAAGTTTATCATCATATAGGTTTGTGCTACCTTCACCCTTTTAAACTTCTCCGTCACCCTTTTATTCCTCTTATGTTTGTTCTCCTTTTCAGGTGTATACTATTCTGCGGGCGCAAAGGCTATAAAAATTTATCCCATTTATAGTAGTTCCACTCTCCATAGTAGACTGTGCGCATTCTGTGACAATTCACTCATGTAGCACTATTGTTCTGTATAACATTATTTTAAACACGGACCATTATGCGTAACCCTCTTCATAAAGTCATAACTGTATTTATAACTGAATAATTATCCCCGCTTTTAGTTGAATGATCTTGTAAATTCTAAAGTCATACATGTATTCTTCCTTTAACAAACGATTTCAATTATATATATAATTATATTCCCATTTTCCATCATAAAATATCTTCCCTTGTGCCTATGCTTTGTCTAATGATTTCCCTAATCAGTATGTTTTACATATTTTTATCCTCCCCATACCTTTATGATACACTGAAAACTATTTTGTACTTCTACTAAAGTTGAATCTATATTTTGAATAAAATGGATACCCACTAACGATAGTGCCGTAATCGAGAAATGTAAAAGAAGAGCATATTCTGAAACCTACTCGTTTCGTCTACTGAAAGAGTGCAGCGAAAGATAAATCCCCTTCTACTTAATACTACTCTTCCAATTCACTATTTTATATAATCTAAATCGTATCGTATTTGTAACTTTTTTAAAAGTGTATGAGATCTTATTCAACCTTTTATAAAAATGAGAAGTCCGAATTGATAGTGTGTTTTGGCCCATTTCCTACTACTGCTATCCTAAAGCTTTAAGGTTTTTCTGTTGAATTATATACATAAATTTTTGGTACAGGCCCCCAAAATAATGTCTCGCACATTTCAAAAATGCATTTGTCAGACAAGCCCACAAATGTATTGCGCTTTTAAAATAGTTTCCACGCACAATATATGCTTTTTTTTTGTTCATCGTTTCTACTTCGTCTCAGTAAGTGTTGTTTGTTTATGCTTAGACAATTTGTCCCCGGTGGAATCATGGGACAGCATTATTCCTCGTAACACAAAAAAGGATAATAAGTTCAGAATGAGTTTCTATTCACAAATATCCACCAACAAAAAAGGAAAAAGAGAAATTTTAGAAAAAAAAGAAATGTCATTTCAAGTACCAGTTAAAATCGTGTACCATTGTTTCCTTCAACTTCAAGTCCAGGGTTCCAATCATTTTACCGAAATGATTCTACTGCACTCACATTTTACCTTTTTTAATGAAATATGCGTAAATGGTTCATTACATACATCATACTTATCTCATTTTGAATATGTTTCTATGTGAATAAAACAACTCCTAAACTGTTTGTATAACATGGCAACAAGCAATTTAATAAAGGATTTATTCTACTTCTAACATTCGCTCTATTTTTTCCTGTTCGTTATCCTTCTCTGATGTTGAAGTTTGGCATTATTGCCTTTCTATAAAGGACTTCCATTTATTCTTCTATCACCCTAATAAATTACCATCATTCCCAGAAGATGCAAATGTAAAAAAACATATAGAATTTCTTAATACCACAAGCCTCTAGTTAACTCTGGCGGAACTACTCAAATTAACATTTCAAAAATGATAGAGTATTTTTTCATCCTTTCTAAGCATATAACCCATTCATTATGTTCGGTACCGTTCCTATTGCTATGATCGAAGTTGCCCCTATTTTAACTTTACATGCAGATTGTACAAAATGGACCTTCCAACGTTTCGTTTTCTTTCCTATTATGTGTTGAATATTTCTTCTTAATTTAGAACTAGGAAAGAGAGAAATTTCAGCTTATGACACATCGTCCTATGATGCTATCAGGAGTTTCTACACATTATATTAAAACCCAAAGGGTTAATCACCTTTATGTTTAAATCTACAAATAACTCCGTTTTTATAGAAGTCTATTTACCCTCTCATAAATAAAACCCTCCTGATCACACTTACCAGTATTTATTCTTTTTCACCTTTAATTCATTCATGTGGGACTCTTTTTAATGTTATTTTTCCCTTAGTACAAAAATGGATAATGCTTTCTTCTACATCCTTCGGCGCACTTAAGGTCGAATTTATTTGAGCTGCACAACTGAGTACGTTACAGGCGCTTAGCACCACCTCGAGAAACATGTACATATCTAACGTCTCCAAACGAGCACTAATGCAGTTACACATAAGGCATTAAAAGTCGTAATAATTATTCATCCATACATCACATCAAAACATTTCATAAAACCTAAGAACAGAGCGAAATTTAAATTTACATTCGTTGTAACACATACGTAATGTGCCAAAAAATATGATACACTTTGATCATATGCCTTTGAAAAAGTTTATTCCTCCTATATATTGTGAAAGTTCTATCCCTTAAAGTATTATTATATCTTTAACAATACACCAGAGTTTCCTTTATCCTTGAGTTTCTTAACATGTATTTGAATATAATTCAAAAGTGTTAATAAAGCATGAATATGTAAGGGATACATTCAAGTCAAGACATCAAAATACAAGTATGCCTTAAGATGTGTATATATGTATGTAAACATATGATATTGTATTAAGCATTGCAAAATTCTTTGGGCTAGACATCCAAAACAATAGTAGATGTATATTTATATGTGCACATATATGTGTAGAATCCTTCTCGGTTTTTTTCTTTTCTATAAACACAATTATAGTTATCTTACAACATATCACGTCCTTTCTCAACAGGTGTCATGTAAGAATGGATAAAAAACAGAACATAAATATGGTACAAACGTTAGGTGGAATAATATTCCCATTGCTAAGACGTGTTATGTAGGAAAATATTATGATGAAAAAACAAGAAATGGAGTTTATTTATAAAGGGTATAGAATATTCAATATATATATTTATATGCACATAGACCCTCTAACGTGAACATTTTTGCGCCCCTTAAGGTTCGTAAATTGGGCATTGTTTTATGAACTCTGTTTTTTAATCAGCAATAAACTTTTAGTGTGTCATTCCTATGTACATAGTAAATTTTTTGTAGTTTCTTTGTTCCTATAAGTATATGCCACTGTTAACGGGAGTTATTATGCCTTGCAAACAAGAATAATCCTATAATAGCAGCTATCAATAAAAATCTTTGTGATCCTATTTGTGTCCATGCATAATAACCTGCTATTATACCTGGTACGACATATATAGCATTTTCCTTAACTTTTTTTAATATCCCTGAACTAAAACTGTCTAAATTCAGTTCACCCATGTTTTGTTGACCAGGTTCTCGGGGGGCGTGGTTATTATAGGTACCATAGTAAGATGATGATTCCAGATTTTCATGACTTCTCCATTGGCTACCAACATTACCCCTGTTGTTTCTTCTTTCATTAATATTTTCATGAGAAGAATATAAACTCTCTCTTGATCCTCCAAGATTGGAGTGCATTTCGGATAAGCTTCTTACATTGCTTGACTCTAAGTCGCTCACTACGCTTCTTCCATTAATACCGTGCTTCTTGAATTGGTGACAGGAATGGTTTATGCATGAATTATATGTGGGGGCAATCAAACATTCACTAGTATATTAATAACTTTATAATATAAATGAAAAGAAAAAAAAAAAAAAAAAACTATTGCCTCATATTCATGAATATCTTACATTTTCGTTGGAGTATTGAAGGGCCAGAATTAGGAGGGTTACTGCAATAACCTTGATAAGGCAGTTTAATGGAGATAGTTTTCCTTTCATTAGGCAATTCTTTGCGTTTAACGTGTTAGCAGCGCTGTCGTTCTTATCTGCATCTTGATTGTTAGTGTAATTGCTACAATTCGACATTTTGAAATTTACTATTTTTAATTTAATTCAGCTTAAGAAGGAGTGAGAGAGAAAAATTAAAATTCACGGCGTATAATATTATAACGTAAATAAATATTCACGAATGAATTTAATTCCGTAATATGTATATATACTTATGTTTATTTAAAAAAAAATACATTATAGAACTCTGATGAAACTTTTTAACGCATTTATAATGGAATTAATTAGTAAAATTATTAAGTAAAATTTGTAGTTATAGTTTTAATTATTTTCTGCTATTATAATGAATTTTATATTCTTTTCTTAGGTTGCTCTAAATTTTTATCAATCTTTCTCGTGTCAATAAAGGAACAATTTTATGAAAATTGAATAAATAAGAAGTAATGAATTTTTCACAAACAACATCCTGTACTAAATTTAAGACAATAATGAAAAAAAATGTTTATTATCACGAAGTTACAGGAATAATATAAAAAGCGCAACTTATGATCTTATATCAATATTTTCATCGTGGAATGAATCATCATTTTTTTCCGATATACGTAGTATTTTTTTTCTTCTAATTTTGCACTAATATTATACTTTATAAAAACAAAGAATAATAAATTTATTGAACCGATAATATTAAAGGAAGTTAATTTTTTTAATGTATATATTAAGGGTATAAAAATAAATGGATTAAAAATAGTTATCATATATAATATTACATACATTTTTCAATGAGAAATGACTATTTTTATTTGCATATTCTAAATCCTCTTTACATTACCGAAATTGCGCTGTTCTGAACATCTTATAATTAGCATTTTTTTCCCAACCTTTTTTTTTTCTGAATTTTATAATATTTATAAATTTTACTTGTTGCACCGTGAATGATAAAAATTGGGTCGAATTCATGTCATAATAAAGAAAAAAAGAACATTTAATGAAAATATTCTGCATGCTTATTTATATCACTATCAGTATGTTATCCAGATAACCTTAAGGCGCTTTTTTTTACTGAAATGTATCACTTAGGAATACGTCCATAAGTTCTTAGTTGATTGGAATTAATGTACTATGTATATAATATAATACTACATATAATATATATCTATATGTATATCTATACACATGATGCATAACGAAATACTTAAACAAGAAAGGATCCAATAGGAAAGGCCTAATTTATAAACGAATCCGAAAATATGTTTAAAACTGGCAAGAAAGAAAACTTCAGTTCTTCTCTGAAGAGAAAAAAAGAGGAATACATAGCTATTCCTCATCCTTTATAACTTAGAAAAAAAAATAATAAAATTGTAATAATAGTAAAATAAATTATTTATAAAATACTATGGACAGTTTAAACTACGTAGTAATAGTGGAAAAATTTCATGTTTCTAGAATTTCTAAAATTTTAACTTTTTCGTTTAGAGAATTTCATCTCTCATGTAAAATTCTTTAAGTGAACAAACGTGTTGAGTGTACTAAAAGATTATTATAATGATTGAGTCACATGTGAACAAGAAAAAGATCATTATGTATGTTTTTCGATTGATCACTCTGAAATTGTACAATTCGTACTTTCATTCCTATATTTTATAGTTCCTGAAAATACAGTATTGGGTTTGTAAAAATATCGTATATTTATACCTTTCATTCTATGAAAAACTATTTTTTAAGGCTCAACTTATCGCAGAAATGGATATATATACATAGATATATATCTTGGTAATTTTTTTTCACCTCAATGAATTATGTTGCTTTTTTGTGCCAAGATGGATTGACATGGCGCAGGTGTCTCGTTCCCTTTAGAAGAACATCTTTTGACAGAGCATGTGTCCGTATATTTCGTGTGTCCCATTAACAAGCATCATATTGATCCGTCAATTGGTTAGGGGCAAATTGTATTAACCAATAGAAATTCTAATGGATGGCACAACCAATTCTATCTGCACAGGTAAGGTGAGGTTTTAATGTGCTAATTAGGAATACTACACATACACTGCTTTTAAGAAGTAGTTGAACCTGTATAACATCATTCATTTTGAACTCACGTGAAACAATTTTATTTTGAACGATATAATTCTCATTTTATCATTTTTTTTCGACCCCTGCGCTTTACGATTACAGAGCGCATGTAATCGCTCTTATTTCATGGATACGGAGAAATAAAAATGCATGTTGTAGCAACAGTGTCCCTTGTGGTAAAAATTTGAGTTATAGACACTGTTTACAAAAAAAGGGTGCAACCGTGACGTTTTTATTCATGGGCTCTGGCAGATACTAACTTTATGCTTTATTTGGCACATTTCTATTGAGTGCTGCCTCCGCTGCAGCAGTATGGAATTTCTACTTTATTCATATTTCAACATATTTACCTAAAAGGTTGAACTTATCATTTTAAGTTTAACACCATTTTCTTTCATTGAGTTAGTTCTATCAGTTATTTTCCTTAAGAATATTTGTCCTTTTTCTTTGCTTAAAGTTGTCTTCGTCTTATTATATATTTGGGCATTCGTGTAATGCTCAATTTTTTTTTTTTTTTTTTTAAAACATTTTAAACCCTTTCTTCTGAAAGGTATTATTATGATTTTTTAGGCAAAGTACCTTATAGAAATTAAAAGATATGAAGACTACTTTTCCACTTTTTTCGCCTTATAATTTTCTTATTACATGCAGCGTACTTCTGCGCAGTTAGGGAAAATTTATTTACCAATATTCTCTTATTCGCATATGCATCTACTCCTATGGACGCATGAGAATTATTCGGAAAAGATTAATTCTGGGATTTTTCATTTTACACTTCCTTTGACATAGAATAGGAAATGCCCTACATACATTCCTAATATTTCAATAATTGCAAAAAAGTAGAATACATTGATGTAAACGTGAAATGATCAATAATTCGACTCCTTCAACCTTTTTCCCGCTATTTACGCAATAGATCCTCAGAAGTGGAATATATAATATGTAATGAAAGTATAATATTATATTATGATTAATTTTCGTTTTTTAATCTTTAGGAATAAATAAAGTTCTAATATACATAATTAGTATTATTTTAGACATTTTTTCTTTATTTTTTAACCAAAATGGTGGGATAAACAAAGTGTAAAAAATATTTCAAAATGTCAGTTGTCTTAGACGTAATTTATTTACACGGATGACTAAAAAAAACGGTGGAATACCAAAAAGAAAAAAATAACAAAAAATTAAATAGAAGTCTGCATATATGTGCCTGCCCATATATAATGTGAAAATTATCAATTTTCATATAATGGTTTCTTCTTTTCTCTTTTGAGATAACTGGCATAAGTTTAAGATCATTTTATCAATAAAAATAAAATAGCTTTCTCTTTTAGTTTTTCCCTAAAGGTTCGGCCAGTTTTTTCTTTGTGTTTAAATGTGCAATCCAATCTGCGATGCTTTCCAAGACCTTTCCGTTCCCAGGCTCTGCGGTCAATGAGTGATCCACTTTTTCTACCGTGATCAATTTCTTATTATCATTACGTAATCTATTAAAAAATACTAGTACACCTTTGTAACCACATATAATATCATCTTTAGAATGAATTATCAATATAGGAATATCACGGGGGATAAATTCCATATCATGCTCTAAGTTACTCATTGCTTTTAGAAGTTCATATAAATATTTTAAGGTGACCCCCTTTCTGTATATAATTTTATCATAATTAACAATATCATTCATATAGGGACATCTTTTAAATCTCCTGTTTCTAACAACTCTTGTCGTTGGAAAGAAGCCACTAATTAATCTTGAGAATGGTAAATAAAAATATTTATATTTATATGAACGTGGTGAACCTATTTTATGAAAACGAATCATACTTGATAATGCAATACATCCTTGAATGTTTAATTTTCTTTTTCCATTGTTTTGTGTCTTCGCTAAGAGTTGTAATGTTCTTAAAGCAATACTTGCACCCATTGAGTGACCAATTATAAATATTGGAAGTGAAGAACATTTATTATTCTTACATTCTTTATTACAGCAGCGTTCATTATCACGTTGGGAATTCTTGTCTCTTGTGGGATCATTATCACGTTGGAGATCCTTGTCTTTTCTGGGGCCGTTATCACGTTGGAGATGCTTGTCTTTTCTGGGATCATTATCACGTTGGAGA